GTCGCCACCCTAAAAGACGTCAACAACCGCACCAGACGTCACCACCCGCGCCAGACGTTATCACCCGCACCAAACGTCACCACCCGCACCAGACTTTGCCAACCGCACCAGACGTCACCATCCGCACCAGAGGTTGCAAACCGCACCAGACGTCACCACCTGCATCGGATGCCACACAATAGCAGTTTTGGTGAGAACGGCGCGGTACTATTTTCGCAAGGCTGGGAACTCCGTCGGTTTATTTATGCAGATAGGGAAGAAGTGTCGCAGCCAGGAGCGGTCTGTCTGCCCTCGCGGCGAGCATAGGAATGGATGTGGTGGTGGGCGGAACGGCGAGGCCAGCCGGCCACAGACGGCACGGGCAGACGCCGCTGGCACAGCACGGCACCGACCACCATGGTCCGTCCTGCCCGCGAACCTGCACGACCCCGGGCGGCAATATCAGCAGCTGAGATCTCTCAGCGACTACACCGACGTTCCTCGGGCCCGGCCCGGCCCGGCTCCACTACCCAACATCTGACGTCTCATCGGCCCGACCCAGCCCTGCTACCCAACATCTGACGTCTCATCGGCCCGACCAAGCCCAGCTACCCAACATCTGACGTCTCATCGGCCCGACCCGGCTCCACTACCCAACATCTGACGTCTCATCGGCCCGACCAAGCCCTGCTACCCAACATCTGACGTCTCATCGGCCCGGCCCGGCTCCACTACCCCACATCTGACGTCTCATCGGCCCGGCCCGGCTCCACTACCCCACATCTGACGTCTCATCGGCCCGACCAAGCCCTGCTACCCAACATCTGACGTCTCATCGGCCCGGCCCGGCTCCACTACCCAACATCTGACGTCTCATCGGCCCGACCAAGCCCTGCTACCCAACATCTGACGTCTCATCGGCCCGGCCCGGCTCCACTACCCAACATCTGACGTCTCATCGGCCCGGCCCGGCTCCACTACCCAACATCTGACGTCTCATCGGCCCGGCCCGGCTCCGCTACCCAACATCTGACGTCTCATCGGCCCGGCCCGGCTCCACTACCCAACATCTGACGTCTCATCGGCCCGACCCGGCTCCACTACCCAACATCTGACGTCTCATCGGCCCCGACCAAGCCCTGCTACCCAACATCTGACGTCTCATCGGCCCGGCCCGGCTCAACTACCCAACATCTGACGTCTCATCGGCCCGGCCCGGCTCCACTACCCAACATCTGACGTCTCATCGGCCCGGCCCGGCTCCACTACCCAACATCTGACGTCTCATCGGCCCGACCAAGCCCTGCTACCCAACATCTGACGTCCCATCGGCCCGGCCCGGCTCCGCTACCCCACATCTGACGTCTCATCGGCCCGACCAAGCCCTGCTACCCAACATCTGACGTCCCCATCGGCCCGGCCCGGCTCCGCTACCCCACATCTGACGTCTCATCGGCCCGCCCATGCCCTGCTACCCAACATCTGACGTCTCATCGGCCCGACCCAGCCTTGCTACCCCACATCTGACGTCTCATCGGCCCGACCAAGCCCTGCTACCCAACATCTGACGTCCCATCGGCCCGGCCCGGCTCCGCTACCCCACATCTGACGTCTCATCGGCCCGACCAAGCCCTGCTACCCAACATCTGACGTCCCATCGGCCCGGCCCGGCTCCACTACCCAACATCTGACGTCTCATCGGCCCCGACCCAGCCCTGCTACCCAACATCTGACGTCCCATCGGCCCGGCCCGGCTCCGCTACCCAACCTCTGACGTCTCATCGGCCCGACCAAGCCCTGCTACCCAACATCTGACGTCTCATCGGCCCGGCCCGGCTCCACTACCAACATCTGACGTCTCATCGGCCCGACCAAGCCCTGCTACCCAACATCTGACGTCTCATCGGCCCGACCCAGCCTTGCTACCCAACATCTGACGTCTCATCGGCCCGACCAAGACCTGCTACCCAACATCTGACGTCTCATCGGCCCGGCCCGGCTCCGCTACCCAACATCTGACGTCCCATCGGCCCGGCCCGGCTCCGCTACCCAACATCTGACGTCCCATCGGCCCGGCCCGGCTCCACTACCCAACATCTGACGTCTCATCGGCCCGACCCAGCCTTGCTACCCAACATCTGACGTCTCATCGGCCCGGCCCGGCTCCACTACCCAACATCTGACGTCTCATCGGCCCGGCCCGGCTCCACTACCCAACATCTGACGTCTCATCGGCCCGACCAAGCCCTGCTACCCAACATCTGACGTCTCATCGGCCCGACCCAGCCCTGCTACCCAACATCTGACGTCTCATCGGCCCGGCCCGGCTCCACTACCCAACATCTGACGTCTCATCGGCCCGACCAAGCCCTGCTACCCAACATCTGACGTCTCATCGGCCCGGCCCGGCTCCGCTACCCAACATCTGACGTCTCATCGGCCCGACTAAGCCCTGCTACCCAACATCTGACGTCTCATCGGCCCGACCCAGCCTTGCTACCCAACATCTGACGTCTCATCGGCCCGACCCAGCCTTGCTACCCAACATCTGACGTCTCATCGGCCCGACCCAGCCCTGCTACCCAACATCTGACGTCTCATCGGCCCGACCAAGCCCTGCTACCCAACATCTGACGTCTCATCGGCCCGGCCCGGCTCCGCTACCCCACATCTGACGTCTCATCGGCCCGACCAAGCCCTGCTACCCAACATCTGACGTCTCATCGGCCCGGCCCGGCTCCGCTTCCCCACATCTGACGTCTCATCGGCCCGACCAAACCCTGCTACCCAACATCTGACGTCCCATCGGCCCGGCCCGGCTCCGCTACCCAACATCTGACGTCCCATCGGCCCGGCCCGGCTCCGCTACCCAACATCTGACGTCTCATCGGCCCGACCCAGCCCTGCTACCCAACATCTGACGTCTCATCGGCCCGACCAAGCCCTGCCACCCAACATCTGACGTCTCATCGGCCCGACCAAGCCAGGCTACCCAACATCTGACATCTCATCGGCCCAACCCAGCCAGCCCTTGCTACCCAACATCTGCCTTCTCTCCAGTCCGACCTGGCCCGGCACCGCTACCCAACAACCGACGCCCCACCGCCCCGGCCCAGCCCGACCCGGCCCGACCTCGCCACCCAACACCAGATGTCCCACCGCCCAGACACGGCCTCGTTACCAACATTGCACAACACACTCACAACGTAAACTGCACGCGGATGGCGAGCAATCCATCAGCAACGTGGGGGCCATTTACATTCCACATTGCATTCAAATGAAGCGGACGTCCACGTTGCTTTGTTCAGTATTTTCGCATGCTATGCAGCTACACATGGGTGTAGAAACCTCCCCATCAGTGACTGAGGCAAGTCTATTGTCAAAGCGAATTGTCCAGATACATCTAAAACGCATCTATCTTTCTTTCTTCGCATCTAACTTTCACAAACAATGGATGGTCCCGACCCGCCTAGGTTCCCAAGCTCCTGTGCTCATAAAACACGAGCGGAAAGTTCACACGTTACAACACAATTTGCATGCCAAAGCGCCGAACTCAGCTCAAATCCGGACAGCCCACGTTGCAATGCCTTCGATGGAAAGGTCACGTTAATGGCATCGCTCCAGCCTAAATAAGCAATAAGTCCGGAGAGCGATGTTGCTCGCCTTGCTGCGGTTCGCGGTTACTTTAGGGCCGACCCCGGCGTCTGATATCGAACGGAGCGCGACAACACTGCCAAAGCCCAAAGCCGCAGGATCGGCTCAATGGTCCCAACACGGCGTTGATAGCAGCGCTAGCAGGACCGGGCCGGGCCGAGCCGGGCTCGGCGCAACAGGCTGGCCAAGGCACCGCGCCGACCGGCCGCTCCATCGTACACCATTATCATGATTAATGGTCATAACAACCATAAGCCCAAACAGGCCCGAGGAGGCGGTGCATTAGGCTAGCTCAGCTGTGCCGGCCCTGTGCGTCACCCGCCTACGCCCACACGCCACGCCCGTCAGCCCAGCCGATTGGTCACAGAAGTGGCTGGCGGCTTTCTAGAACAAGCAATGCATGGTTCCCCAACGCACTGGAAGCTTGGTCTTTGCTGGTTGCAGGTACGATGTGTTGGCCAGGTGCTTACCGCGGACCAACATAACGCAGCACCCATTTGCCATCGGAGAGTCCATTAAGGATGCCTACCTGGAGAGAGTTGTAATCTTCACAACTGGCGAACTGGCGAACTGCCGGCGGTTGGTATGGGCGGGAAGGAGGAGGGGGACGAACGGCCGGGAAAGCCACACCCTGTCAAAAGGGACCCTGGACACCGCCTCCCATTGGTTCCTTCCTGGCCCCACACCCCGATGCCTGGATCCCAGTGGTTCTTTTGCAAATCCCGGACAATGGTTCCTGGTTTTCACTGGCTCTTTAGCATCGCCAGACATTGCCTCCTGGTTTCCAATATCACTTTTTTGACATCCACCCGACCCGGGTCCCTGGTTTGCATTGGTTTAACCTCAAAATATCAGATTCTGATTTCTCATTCGCGCTGGCTCATTTGTAAACGCCAGCAGGTGTTACCATTGGGCACTTATTGACCATTGGGCCGACGCCTGAAATAAAAGATACTGCCAGCATCCAGCTCCCAGGAAGAAATCACGGGAGCCATCTGCATGTCTCACGCAATCATGGGAGTCTCGTAACCCTCACCTGTCGCCCGCATGATGCGCTCACAACGGATGCCAACCAGCAGGGTGTGTTTGGCTGAAGACAACATCACCCGAAATAAGATACTTGAAACGCTGCCACTGTTAGCGGCCGGCGGGAGACATCCGACGGCTGAGGGGTGTGGACGGCGGCTGGCGGGGGACACCCGACGGCTGAGGGGTGTGGACGGCGGCTGGCGGGAGACACCCAACGGCTGAGGGGTGTGGACGGCGGCTGGCGGGAGACACCCGACGGCTGAGGGGTGTGGACGGCGGCGACCGTCTCCCCACACCGACCGGCTGGCTGACTGGGTCCGGGCCGCGACTCGTCTCACCTTATCGCGACCGGTCGGCGTGGTCGGACTGGCGGCGCTGGTCCGCACTGGGATCCTACCGCGCGACAGCCGACGCTGGTCGGCCGGCCGGCCCGGCGGCGCCAGCTGCTGCTGCTCCTGCCGCTGGCGGCGGCCGTCCTCAGCGTCCACCTCCAGCAGCAGCGCCGGCCGGCCCGGCGTCTCCATCGCCACCTGCAGGGCAGCAGGATGTCCGTCGCAGGGCCCGGCGCACGCCGCAGTGGCAACCGGCACCGGGGACAGCACCACCCGCCACCCATCGGGGGTGACCTATCATAGGCAAGTTGCGCAGGGATCCATCATTGTTGCAATTCATGCTCAGCATGAGGTGTTTATCACGAGGGACAAAACGAACACTGACGTCACACTGATGATGACAGTGTCATTGGACCGCCGATGACGGACTGAGCAATCACGGCTGGCATGCATACCGCGCGCACCACAGGTCCACACGCACCACTTAACCGCTGATGTTCGTCACAACAGTCGGGGAATTGGGGCGACCGCTCTTAAAAAGCATGGCTCTAAACCCCAGCCCGAGTGATCGGCTTCCGCTGCAGTCTTCACGGCTCTAAACCCCAGCCCGAGTGAGTGATCGGCTTCCGCTGCAGTCTCCATGGCTCTAAACCCCAGCCCGAGTGAGTGATCGGCTTCCGCTGCAGTCTTCATGGCTCTAAACCCCAGCCCGAGTGAGTGATCGGCTTCCGCTGCAGTCTTCATGGCTCTAAACCCCAGCCCGAGTGAGTGATCGGCTTCCGCTGCAGTCTTCGACACTCAAGACATGCAGACCGAGGAACAATGAGAGTTACTTCTATAAATCTTGCAACGCATTACGAAAGCGAGTCCCCCTGCCCCGCCGCTTTGTGGTCGTCGTTTAAATGAGCGGTACCATCCAACGTTCCTCAGCACCTCGCGCAACAACATTCCAACGACGTGGACAGACAAATGGACGGACCCTTCAAAGACGGTGTCACGGCGCTGGTCAGAATGGGCGCTCCACAGTGGCATGCCACCTGGTTTCACTGCTTAATGGGACCGTCTGTTTATATACAATGAGCTTAAAGTTGAGAGGACGCAGTTTTACCGATCCCTATGACGATATCCTGTTGAGGCTTTCGATACCGCACCTGGATTTTGTCGACCTGTATTGTAATGCGTATAGATTTTGCCCGCCAGTATAATACCAGATGTCAGTTTTGTGAAACCGTAGGGCTCCGCACCTATGTACCTTAAACCATTCTTACGCCCGCTTGGTCAAGTCAGCCTAAACCCAAAGTGGTCGAACCGCTCTGAACCCCAATTCGTCAGGCAAGTCTGAACCTCACTTCGCCAAGCCAGTCTGAACCTCAATTCGCCAAGCCAAACTGAGTCTCACTTCGCCAAGCCAATCTGAACCCCAATTCGCCAGGCAAGTCTGGACCTCACTTCGCCAAGCCAGTCTGAACCTCACTTCGCCAAGCCAGTCCGAACCTCAATTCGCCAAGCCAATCTGAGCCTCACTTCGCCAAGCCAGTCTGAACTTCGATTCGTAAATGTTTGTCCGAAGCGGCAAGACCTTGACAGGCCGATAGGGCAGCTGGATGGTATGAAGTTGCCTGAGGTGGTACCTCGATCTTGTCGAGCTGTATGATGGCGAGCCTGACAGCGGCGGCGGCGTCACGGTCCTGCTCGGTGACCAGCAGCTGGCGCACCACCGCCTCCAGCTCCTGCAGACGCCGCTTGTCGGCTGGCAACCGCAGCGTGGCCTTCATCCGCGACAGCAGCAGGCACAGGCCGCGGCGGATGTTGGGCACCGGGTCATCTGCCGGTCCGCATAGGCCGTCACACATCACGGCCGATCAGGAAACCACAGCAACGCGGTACACGTCATCAGCAGAGCATGGCAACACGATACACATGATCAGTAAATCACAGTAGTCCGACGCACATCATCAGTAAATCACAGCAGCACGGTACACATCAACACAAATCACAGCAACATGGTACACACGAGCGAATCATGAACGGCACTACATTATGGTGATGCACGTCAGGTCTGCAGCATGTTGGTCTGCAGCATGGTCTGCACACCGAGTTTTAAAGGGAATGTCCCACATTTGGAGATATTGAGGCAAGCACCAGATGTGATGAAATGCGCTCACTTGTAATTATCGGCATGCTTACAAGCGCAAGACTGCCCACACAACAAGATTCCACTTTCAGTAACCATGCTCCTCAAAACATCATCGCTTGCTTGCGTCATGGAACGTTTGCATGGCGTCTCAGGGGAGCTACCAAATTGGCCGTGTGAATTTGCCACCATAACGGACAGACTAACTCACTTAAAGTAATCTAACTTCTCGAGATGAGTCGTGCTAATGGTTGCAGTATTTCCAGAACTCAAATATCATTGTGTGCGCGTGTTTTGGCTCTTTCTCGTGGTGCTCTTTCCTTTTTATACGTGATTTCATATAATGCATTTTCATCCACATACTCGGCTCGGTTATTGTGCCATCCTTAACGTATTCGATGACAAATATTATTCCCGCAATAACTCTTGCCACTGTCCAATATCGTGTATGACGCAGCACATTACATGGTTCGTGTTCGAATTATCCGCCCTGCTATCCTCTCCCTTGCTTAATCCGGCCTCCTCACGGCTCGCCACTTGTCCATGGCAGGATGTATGCGTCAGCCTCGAGAGGAGCCAGGAGGCCTCTCGTGGAACCCCGTGCGAAAGCATGGCACACACCCCACAGAGAAGTCCCTATGCGGGCTAAGCACCGGTAGCTGGCCCCCCAGGTGCATGTAATCCTGCGCCACCGTTATCCGCTCTCCTTTAATCAAAGCACTGAAATGATTATGACTGGTCGAAAGGGCTCCAATACCACATCGTGCTCGAAAATCGCACTTAATGTATAACATCGGTTGAGAGTCAACTGAAATCCACTGGTGATCATCGGATGAGAGTCAACTGAAATCCACTGCCAAAAACCATGCTTACGTACACCCTAACTGAATAACTCTCGAACCTTTAGTCTTTTTTTAATATTCGAATATGTCAGCTGAGATGCATTCCGTTCAGGAAAATGCGAGAAAATGGTTCTAGGAAGTCCCCATTGTTGACACTTCGAATGAGCAATCTGATGGCGGTGAAGAATGTAGCCTATAATTGCCAAAAAGTGCACGGCACGGAAAGTACCAAGGCAGTGTGTAGAACTACTGAAAAAAGGCTTAAGAGGGAAATCAGGGGCGCCCAGAGTATCCGAATTGTGGGTAGCAGACACTCTGGTGACGTTAAAAATATTTTTGCTACTACCAATTCAAACCTAAGGGGTTCTATGTCGGCGCTTTCGAGGAAAATGGAATCATTAGAAGAGGATAGGGATATTGTAGATGCTCTTAACAGGCAGCTTTATTCAATTTTTACGAAGGAGACTTTGCGTGATCTCCCTGGTAATGGGCTAAAACTGACTGCAGGCAGTCTTGTAGATTTGACGGTGACTGAGAGTATGGCGCGGGATGGCTTGAGAGAAATCACATAAAGCGGCCGGACCTGACCAGATATATGGCAGTCATGAATCCATGCGCTAGCGCTTAAGCCTATTCTCTTATGCAAACATTTCATAGGCCATTGAATTCCTCGGAGCTTCCCGAGGACTGGCGAGTTTGAGGTTCCTTGGTCACAAGCCCTAAAGTAATAAACAGGTTGGTTTCGACCCTGGAATGACCTTCATACCTGACCCTAGGTCAATGGAATTTGTTCATTCGATTGTGGTGTTGCATAACAGAGTATATCAGAGATGAATGGTTTCGTCTAACACCCAGTTGTTGCAAAGATTGAAAGATTCCCTAGAATTTGACTGCTAGACACATTGACATTGACCTGCCGTAGGTCAGCCAACCTTGCAAGGTACATCTAATTTTGGATACCAAACGATCCGCTATTTAATTTTATACAGCTATGCACAATTTAGCGCGGCTACGCCGCGCCGTTCGGAAACCGTCCCGGAAAAACCTTGCGGGGGGCAGAATGACCCCCCCCCCCCTCCCACCCCCACCTTAGCGCGTGTGTAGGCTAGCATTCAGTCCCACTTAGATACACATCAGTTGCTAAAAAGAGGTCAGCATGGTTTTCCTTCTGGTTGTTTGACAAATTGTCTGCATTTCATGGAGCATGCCACTACTCAGATCATTTGGATGTCTATCTAGATTTTAGTAAGGCGTTTGCCACACCAGCATCTGCTATATCGCTTAAAATTGCATGGCATGGACGGAATAATTCTGGGCTGGGTAAGGGCTTGGCTGGTAGACAGGGAACAATGAGTAGCGTTTAATGGTGCAAAATATCAGTGGGAGCTCGTGGAGGATGGTGGAAAATCCCACAGGGGTCGGTGCTGAGCCCTTTATTCTTTCTTACTTTTATGAGTAATATTGAAATAGGATTAGAGGGTAAGGTGCTAAAATTCGCTGACAATACTTAATAGGTAGGGGAGTCAAAAAATACCGCCCTGGTGAGCCAAAATCACCTCGACTTAGAGAAACTAATTAACTGGGCTTCTCTGTGGCAGATGTCATTCAATTATGATAAGTGTAGTGTGATGCATTTGGGTACTTTTGGCAGTGAGAACGTTAGCCATAAAATGAGTGGCCGGGAGCTAGACTAGATAGGTGAAGAAGCGGATTTACGAGCTATGATTACCAGGCATCGAAAGGCTGAAGATCAATGTACGACCGCTGGGAGCAACTCACTTCAGATGCTAGGACTTGCTAACAGAAATGTTCATTACAAGAGCAGGAATGTTGTAAAAAAGTTATACTTAGATTGTCGGACCACACCTCGAGTACTGTGTGCAGGCTTGGTCCCCATGCTTCCAAAAATACATAGATAGGCGGGAAATAGTACAGCAAAAAGCAACTAAGAAAATAAATGGGGCTGGCGATCTAGAATATAAGGACAGGCTTAGAGCCTTCTATTTGTATCCACTGACATATGGTAGATTTAGAGGGGGTCTGATAGAGGCATTCAAGATTATGAAAAGGGATAGACAAGACAATTCTACATGGAGCGCTGGAAATCAGGTCGAGACATAAAGAAAGCCAGTTATGTTTGGCAAAGGGTAGGAAAAGGACTATTAAGAGGCAGATGTCATTTTGTCGAAGAGAAGTGCGTCATTGAAAAGTTCCGCCAAACGAAATTGTGGGAAGTCCCTCTGTGGCAACATTTAAAAATCGTTCGCGCGAGTTCTATCGGTTTAAAGACATCCTTCATAGCTAAATTTATGTAGGTCAGGTGGTAAGATTAGTTTCGAGGATGTGCAAGGAACCTGAAGTAGGCCAGCCTCGACGGCCCTTGAGGCTCTTTGTTGGCCAGATGTATTTGTCTTTATGTGTGAACAGACCGAGGGCGACACACGCCAGTGAGGCAGAACAGACTGCGGGCGACACACGCCAGTGAGGCAGAGCAGACCGAGGGCGACACACGCCAGTGAGGCAGAACAGACTGAGGGCGACACACGCCAGTGAGGCAGAGTAGACTGAGACTGACACACGCCAGTGAGGCAGAACAGACTGAGGGCGACACACGCCAGTGAGGCAGAGTAGACTGAGGGCGACACACCCCAGTGAGGCAGAACAGACTGAGGGCGACACACGCCAGTGAGGCAGAGCAGACCGAGGGCGACACACGCCAGTGAGGCAGAACAGACTGAGGGCGACACACGCCAGTGAGGCAGAACAGACTGAGGGCGACACACCATACGCTTTTCTCAGTCGCCCAGCCACATTGAGCGTCCCAGGGTTTCGGCAAGGCGAGCGTGCCGCCCGGGGCGCTAACCAAATCCGCCAACAGCCCACAACGGGCTGGCCCTCATTGGTCGTCGACCGCGGGGCTTGCATGGCATAATTTCGTTTGTGGTTTGTGAATGATGACCCAGGTCAGCGTGTTAATTTCCATATTAACGTACAAAGAGCGACACAAGTCCGCCTTGCAAATGACATTAATGCACCACAAAGAAACGCAGGACACGACAACGGAGACAACAATCGTGAGCATGTATCAATAAATGTGGCAGCTGCATGGCGCATTTACAAACAAAGGAAACAAATGCAGTGAAGACCACGTGATACGCCAGCGGAAACCAAAAACGCCTCAGGCCGAATGTTAGTCTTTGAAACTTAAAACAGCCCAAGCGCGAATCCACCCGGCACGCTGCCTGCCTCATGACGTACCCACGAGCGCCAGCGTCGTCATGAAGAAGTACTGCTTGAAGAAACTCTTGGAGAAGATGTCGAGCACCATGCCACAGATGTCAAGGTACAGTTTGCGCATGTGGCAGCTGTCGTTCTGGCCGAGTTCTACGGGCGGCGACACAGATCAGGTCCTCGGCCGTCCCCACTGACCGACGACACATCAGGTCCCGGCCGTCCCCGCTGACCAGCGACACAGATCAGGTCCCGGCCGTGGGGACCCGTATGGGGACCTGGGGACCTGTTCGGCAACATGTTCAGCACCTGTCTCAGAGCGCGGCGGCGTTCGGCTGGCTGCATGTACGCGTCGCGCCCATCCCCAGCTCTGTCCGTATCTCTAGCTTTATACAGGCCCTTTCTCACAGCTCTCCCGCTCGTTCCGCCTGGCTCCTACCCCAACTATCCCAAGCCCCACAAACGGTAACCTTCCCCACCCTGTCATGTAAACGCAATGGCGCAAACAAGCTTCGAAAACTAGCAGCAACTTTTGGACGGAACTTCCAACTTAAAAGCGACGCTCGCTTCAGCATCGAACGCGTCCAAATACCACACGAGATTGGCCACCACGCTGATCTGTCACTGGGGAAATAGCGAGCGCCGGGTCTGGCTGGCTGTGAACGTGGTGGTAGCGTGGAGGCGTCTAGTGGCAGCTCCACTGCAGAGCGCATGTAGCACATCAGCCAGGTAGCGGCCGCGGCAGGGGTGTTGGTACATGTAGACCGCGGCAGGGGTGTTGGTACATGTACACCGCGACAGGGGTGTCGGTACATGTAGGCCGCGGCAGGGGTGTTGGTACATGTAGGCCGCGGCAGGGGTGTCGGTACATGTAGACCGCGGCAGGGGTGTCGGCACATGTAGACCGCGGCAGGGGTGTTGGTACATGTAGGCCGCGGCAGGGGTGTCGGTACATGTAGACCGCAGCACGGGTGTCGGTACATGTAGACCGCGGCAGGGGTGTCGGTACATGTAGACCGCGGCAGGGGTGTTGGTACATGAAGGCCGCGGCAGGGGTGTCGGTACATGTAGACCGCAGCACGGGTGTCGGCACATGTAGACCGCGGCAGGGGTGTTGGCACATGTAGGCCGCGGCAGGGGTGTCGGTGTGTGCAGGCCGCGGCAGGGGTGTCGGTGCATGTGGGCTGCGGCATGGGTGTCGGTGTGTGCAGGCCGCGGCAGGGGTGTCCGTGCATGTGGGCCGCGGCAGGGGTCTCGGTGTGTTGTGCAGGCCGCGGCAAGGGTGTCAGTACATGTTGGCCGCGGCAGGGGTATCGTGTGTGCAGGCCGCGGCAGGGGTGTCGGCGTGTGCAGGCCGCGGCAGAGGTGTCGGCGTGTTGTGCAGGCCGCGGCAAGGGTGTCGGCACATGTAGGCCGCGGCTGGGGCATCGTTGTGTGTAGGCCGCGGCAGGGGTGTCGGTGTGTGCAGGCCGCGGCAGGGGTGTCGGCGTGTGCAAGTCGTGGCAGGGGTGTCCGTGCATGTGGGCCGCGGCAGGGGTGTCCGTGCATGTGGGCCGCGGCAGGGGTGTCGGTGTGTGCAGGACGCGGCAAGGGTGTCGGTACATGTAGGCCGCGGCAGGGGTGTCGGTGTGTGCAGGCCGCGGCAAGGGTGTCCGTGCATGTGGGCCACGGCAGGGGTGTCGGCGTGTGCAGGACGCGGCAAGGGTGTCGGTACATGTAGGCCGCGGCAGGGGTGTCGTGTGCAGGCCGCGGCAGGGGTGTCGGTGCATGTGGGCCGCGGCAGGCGTGTCGGTGTGTGCAGGCCGCGGCAGGGGTGTCGGTGTGTGCAGGTCGTGGCAGGGGTGTCGGTGCATGTGGGCCGCAGCAGGGGTGTCGGTGCATGTGGGCCGCGGCAGGGGTGTCGGTGTGTGCAGGTGGCGGTAGCAGTGTCAGTTGTGCAGGCCGCGGCAGGCCGGAGGAGTGGTTGACTAGAGCGCGGGAGGAATGTCGGTGGGTACCGGCAGAGAACGAATCTTCGCACTGGGGGGAGACCAGAAAAAAACAAATGCTTCTTTAAGCGCGCCGCAAACGAGTAGATCTCCTTGCGTGGCGTATGAAAAGATGGTACGCTGGTTTCAATTCTTAATAGCATTTGTCTGCCTCGACATTTTTAACTGCCTGTAGTTTTTTACACACACGGGACAAAGGTTGATACTAAGGGGGAACGTGGCATGCATGCCACTTTTTCATACGCCACACGGGTGCAGGGCGCGGGAGGAACGCCAGCAGGCACCGTGCACAGGGAGAGTGTCGGTGGGAGTGGCACAGTCCCTCCCCCCTTTGCCAGTTCGGATGCGTGCAGGGCACGGGGGGGGGGGGTCCAGGTGGTTGCGGGCATCGGGGCAGTACGGCATGGATACAGTGCATAGGGGGAGTGTTGGTGGGTGCGCGGCAAACGGAGGGCCCGGGTGGGTACAGGGCATAAGGGGAGTGTCGCCCGGTGCGCGGCATAGGCAGGGTTTTGGTGGGCAAGGCAGCGCTTCGGCGCAGCTCCCGCCCTGGCCCCTACCTTCGCCGATGCGTGCGCAGATGACCTGACGGTGCTCGATCTGGCGCACGTTCTGCAGGAAGACAAGCAGCGTCCGCGCTGCCGCCTGCCGGCAGGGGATCGGCCGCTGCCCGGCCGGCCCACACCCGGTCACAGTGGCGTCCGTGCAACACGCGGCATCGGGGGCCGGCCCACACCAGGTCACAGTGGCGTCCGTGCAACACGCGGCATCGGGGGCCGGCCCACACCAGGTCACGTAATGAAACAAAAATTAGAGCAATCGTCGCAGCATCACGTGTTCATAGGCGCTCAAACCTACGTGGAACTACCCTTACCCACAAGCCAATAAAAATACCAAGAGTCAAACCAATCCAGACAGAGCCCAGCAAAAGCTCAAGGTATCTCCGAGAGTCCCACAACAAACGCTGGCCATACAAGATAGTGTAACAACGACAAACCGTTAAAACAACGCATAACTATTGAGAAGACCCCATCAGCAAGCGGCAAGAGCCGGCTGCGTCGAGACGACGCCAGAGGTTGGACGCGCGCAGCCGGGCCGGCTGATTGGCGCAGCAGCGCGCCGCGGTGGCGTCTCACCACGGTGTGCAGCTTCTGGAAGATGGTGGGTACCCAGCAATGGTACAGGTGGTCGGCCGGGAAGCACTCGGCCAGACTGCTGAGCCGCTGCAGCAGGCCAGCATGCAGGCGCCACCGGGTGGTGTTGGCGATCACGCACTCGGAAGTCATCAGCGCCGCAGTCAGCTCAGCAACCAGCTCCGGCTGAGAGCGGGATGCCCACACGTAAGCTGTCGCACAGGTACGCTCACTCCACCACCAGGATTTATTCGTGCAGTTCGGGACAAGCGCCACTGGCGCACCACGTACAAATGCTCGCCTGCCAATACATTTGTAAAAGTGGGACTCAGTGACCGCAGACATGCCACAACGATAGCAAATGCAGCGTGACGGCAACGCATAACGAAGCACGATTCACCCGTACAAGTGGCTCGAAAAAACAGTAGAGAGCAATGCCACAAGGCTTCTTATGTGTAGTTAGTAGAAGCGGGCTGAGGTCTGCCAGCAGCCATGAAGAGTGTCTGCGCAACACCACCCGAGACGGCGCCAGACACGCCAGCGGCCACCCCCTGACACACCACCGGCCGGCGCCCGCCGGCCCGCCGACGGGCGGGCACATTCTGCTCTCACCTTGGCGGCTGGCCCCAGCACGCCGTGACGCACGAACGCGGCGAGCGTGAGCGGCAGCCGCTCCACCAGCGCCGCCAGCACCTCCACGCTGTCGTCCTTCAGCAGGTGAACCAGTTCCGAGTGCACCTGGTGCACGCTGGGACCCAGCAGACGACATACCTGGCGGAGCGACGTGTCGACAGCCTGGCAGCCAGCGACCCTGTTTCACTTAACGATGATGGGCGATGGGGTCGCAGTGGCGAGCTAACGGGCGCCGTGCGGGACGGGGCTGCGGTGGTGAGCTAATGGGCGCCGCGTGGGACGGGGCTGCGGTGGTGTGCCAACGGCGCTGCATGGGATGGGGCTGCGGTGGCGTTAGTTGGCCACCACAGCTCCGTCCCACGCAGCGCCCGCCAGTTGTGCATTAGATATATATATATATATATATATATATATATATATATATATATATATAAGCCCTAAAACACTTGCCCATGGGCTATAAACGCTGTCAACCGCAGCGCATCCTCCTCGCAGCACAGCGCACGCTACTCACTGTTGGGCGGTCTTCTTATTGGCCACCTCCCTGGCCTATTGGCCGCCTTGGCCACCTCCCGCTATTGGCGGCAGCCGCCGCCGGCAGCCTTGTTCTGCCACCGCGCGGTCCGCCAGGCCCGCTGACGCCTCACGAGCCCTCTATCTCAGCCGCCGCACCCGACACATAGGCACGCCAACACCAGTCACATGTGCACCACTCACCTCGTGGAATCCGGCGGCGACCACGCGGCGCACGGGTCCGTGCGGGTCAAACACGAGGTCGGTAAAGGTGGCGTGCAGGTTGGAGCGGCTCAGGTCGCCGCCGGCCAGCAGCAGCATGGCCGGGAAGTTGTAGGCGCAGGCCTCGCAGCACTCCATGTACCGCTCGCTCGGGTCCAGCTGAGGCACCAGGTCTGGCATCTGGAGACAGACGACGGGTTGGTACAGCTGTTGAGTTGGGTCCGACGTCTGGTAACAGAGATGAGGCAAGCAGACCTGTGATGTTGCGTCCAACACCTGGTGAAGCCGCAGGGTGACACAGCGTCCACACTAAGTCCGACATCAGGTGTAGCAGCAGATCTGGTTTCTGGTATAGCTGCAGGGTGACACAGCGTCCACACTAGGCCCGACATCTGGTGTAGCTGCAAGATGATAGTGCCCACACTAGGTTCGGCACCTGGTGAGGGAGCAGGGTGATACAGCTGCCACGCTAGGGCCGATGCATAGTGACGGGAGCAGAATGATACAGCGTCCACACTATGTTATCATCTGGTGACGGCAGCAGAGCGATACGGCAGGCGTACTAGGTCCGACACCTGGTGACGGAGCGGCTTCAGAGCAGCCGCACCCCCGTACCATGCCATCGTCCCACCCCTGCCTCTTCTCCAGAGCCGTACCGGGTTCAGTTCGTTGCGCGCTGCTGCTGCCTTGTGCAGGTTTTTCAGGCGCGCCACGTTGCTGTAGAAGTCCAGGAATGTCTGTTTCTGCTCGGAGCTGAGGTAGCCTGTCGATGCGAGAAGCGTGTTCATGTCAGTTCCCGTTGTTCAGCCAGGGCTTTGACGCGTGACGCGCCGTAGCATACATCGGCAGAGCGGCACCAGGGGCTTAACTTGGTAACTCTGACAGGTTATGCAAACTTTCATGCAGACAGAGGCTGTGCAAATGTCAACAGGGCTTGATGTACAAACCCCTGAAGTTGAGCTCCCCCTGCAGGTACCTGCTAATCATTCCGAGTCTACAGGGGGCAACTTGCTTATTGGGAACTTGCCACTTCACTTGCTTTGCGTTCGCACTACAGCCCACTCGTCAGCAAAGTGGTCATTTGCGGGCGATCGATGGGGATGGAGAGTAGTGGAGCAGGACTATACGCATATGAAGGTTCACCGCCCCGATCGCACGCAGTCATGGCAACATATTCTGCGCACGTGCACACAGCAAAGCATGCAAATATTCTGAATGATTCGGTATTTTTTAAAAAAATTGAAGCTCAAACGCCACGCTACATGAGACGTTTCGCAGACTGCGCCATAATTTTCCTACTGTAGCCAGTTGCTCCTTGCTGCTCCTTGTGCCTAGAGGCCAAAAGCAACGCTGGGATAAGACGGAAGCAATACCGAAGACAACACCACCACGCTAAAACACCGGGGCATTCGCCGCAGATCACAACAAAGTGACAAAAGACGTCAGTAGGATCTGCGGCCCACCAGTGCTGACGTTCGGAGGAGGGGAGCCGGAGGGGAGCCGAAGGGGAGCGTGACGGCGGCTCTAACAGCGACACCGGCGCGTGACGCCAGGGGGGAGTGTGACGCGGGGGAGCGTGACAAGCGGCGTTGCGGGGACCCACCGTTGAGGCCGCTGCAAAGCTTGCCGAGCAGCCGGGCGATGACGGGCAGTGAGGTGTCACGCGTCTCGTAGCTTGACTCGCACACCTTGGTCGCCAGTGGGATGATAGTCTGCGTGCACGTCTCTGCGGACGGCGCCGGCGGCGTCAGGCCAGCAGCTGCGCACAGGCTCCAGACACCGGCCAATCCCCCGCACACACAACACCCACAGACGTCAGTCCAAGCGTCACTGGCACCCGCACCTGCTCACGCGCTTCATGACACCCAGCTGACGTCGCTGGTGGCGATGTATGGAAGTCTGACGAACTGGGTGCGGTCACGTGGTGAAACAAATGTCAACAACCGAGCCCCGCAACCTACCTATAGATAATGATATAGAAAGCAAACTTCACAAGGACGCCATTCTCCTCATCTTCTGGAGGCAAGAACAACGGCGGGTGCGGTAAGTCAATGTTGAAACAACTAACAGTGGTGCATAACCTTTAGGCAAATGGGATAGAATGCTGGGAAGCAACCGTCTCAGCCTGCCAAGTTCCTCCAACAGCCGGTGCCTGGTAGCAACACCCGCCGGCGCACACCCTCGCACCGAAGCGGGCTCAGCATCCCCCGGCGAGCCTCACCGGCGTCCAAGATGTCCAGCATGTCCACCAGGGTGCGGAACGCGGCGAGACGCACCGTCACCTCCTCGTCACTGGCCAGCTCCACCAGCTCCGGAATGATGGCCGCGCGCGTCTCCTGAAATCCCAGGTCAACAGTTTATCACCATGCATCACTACACTGATGGTGCCGGACGAAGCGGCAATGTAACACATGACGGTGCCGTGCTACATAGCTCACATACACTGTCTCTGTTGGTCACCACACAGCCTGTCTGTTGGTCATTACACAGTCTGTTGGTAATCATACATCCTACCTGTTTGTAATCACACAGCCTGCCTGTTAGTAATGCACAGTCTGCTGGTAATCGCACAGCTTTACTGACAATCACGTTGATAACTCCGCCCATCACACTGGAAGCGGCAGTGGGGAGGGGGGGGGGGGGGAAGGCCGTCGCCTGCCGTCCTCACCTGGGGCCCCAAGCCGTGCGCCACGGCGCCCAGCTGGCTGCACATGGCGGCGCGCACATCGCAGTCCACGTCCTGACACAGCGACTGGACACTGGCCAGTAGCTCCGTCTGGATCCTGCAGCAGAGAGGACGGTCCACACTAGGCACGACAGCTCAGCCCGGCCGCCGGGGAGCTCAGCCCGGCCGCCGGCGCTCTCAGCACGGCCGCCGGCGCTCTCAGCCCGGCCGCCGGCGCTCTCAGCACGGCCGCCGGCGAGCTCAGCCCGGCCGCCGGCGCTCTTAGCACGGCCGCCGGCGCTCTCAGCCCGGCCGCCGGCGCTCTCAGCACGGCCGCCGGCGCTCTCAGCCCGGCCGCCGGCGCTCTCAGCCCGGCCGCCGGCGCTCTCAGCACGGCCGCCGGTGCGCGCCCAGCCGGTCGGCTACCGCAGGACAGGCCACCGGGCCGTCTCCAGTCTGCGTGTTAGCTCGACACCGAAGATAACGTCAGCCAGCGCACTGGAATGTGCGCCGGGGAGAGTGCGACATCTCACGCTCCCCGCTTTGTAATGAGAAATTGGGCCGCAGGCTGCCAACCAAGGCTGTCAATGAAAACAAGTTGGAGGATGGCCTCGTTTCGGGCTAAGGATATGGCCTACAATTAACGTTTTTGGGCAAATTGTTTGATATCAAAACGCCTGCAGATGAAAATGTTGTACTGAGTGCGAAAGATTGGAAATATTATAAGTTAAGGAATGCCGTTAATAACAGCTATTTTTCACGCCAGTGGTGAATTCTTATGCTGAGAATAACCAACATTCACTACCCCATGGGGCAATAACGGCCCGCCGCCCTCGTGGTCGTGCCAGTGTCAGAACGCCTGCTGGACGAGCGGGCTTAACATCACTGGTGCCGCAATTCGTTGCACGAAAACATCCCTCTGATGAGGGGCGCGGGTGACAGATATATATATATATATATATATATATATATATATATATATATAATCACCACGTCTTGTCACAATACTACAAATCATTTGGTACGCAAGTTTGCCGAGGGTGTTGGCCTAATGTCTGAACGAAGTGAGGTTATTATTTTCGCTCAAATAGCTTCCGAAGGAAGTCGCACTGAAGAAGGCTTTTGCAATACCCTGTGTTGGAAACGGACCGACAAGTATCCAGCACCGTGCACCTACTGCATATCCCTCCCCCCCCCCCCCCCCCCTCCCCCTCGAAGGACGTAGTGCTTTAATCCATTGTACACTGGCATTGGTAGGCGCATATTTGACGAACATTGGAAGAGCATTGGATGGTTCGTCCCACCTCAAGCATTTCAACACTAGAGCACCTAAGGAGCACTGGTAAGACGGTGATGGTCGCCACTAAAAGTATACTTTCTGGCATTTTTACGCACTTGAAGGCATTAACGTTTCGGCCAGAGCCCTCCAGGGCCTCTTAATTAAAGGTAGCATCAATCTCCCGCTTCCCTGGCCTGGGCTCAGGCCAACTGGAACCGGAGGATACATGAGGCGACTCACGTGACATGTTTATCTCTTCTGCCACACCTCTTGCAAGTCTCTGAGACAGGCTTCCAATGATTTTGTCACTGACCATCCACAAGTTGGGCACATAAAGACGTCCTCATTAACCGGCGGATAGCTCCCTCTTGCGATGAAGCCCGATGAAACCAACACAGCGATAGGCCATGTGTATGCTTTGTGCCGCATAGTAACTCCGACGCCGCGGCCCGTCAGAACTTGCGAGACGCCAGTACGAACCGCCGTACCCCATCCCGTGGCTAAACACTGAACACAGCCGCCTGTCCAGAGCAGCGGCGAGGCGGCACCCCGTGAGCAGCCGTCTTCTGCAGTATGCTGTCCTCTGCAGAGTGGACCCAGCCGGCAACCCGAGTCACGGAGGAACTCCAGTCGGTAACGCGAGTCACGGAGGGGGCCCAGCCGGCAACGCGAGTCACGGAGGGGGACAAGGCCGGCAACGCGAGTCACGAAGGGAACCCAACCGGCAACCCGAGTCACGAAGAGGACCCAGCCGGCAACCCTAGTCACGGAGGAACTCCAGCCGGTAACGCGAGTCACGGAGGGAGACGCAGCAGGCGACCCGAGTCACCGAGGGGATCCAGCCGGTAACGCGAGTCCTTCCTGCATTTCAATGATCCCTGTTTAACGGTATTGCCAAGGTACTCGCTGGCATTTCAAATTTCCCATTCACGACCGGCCACATCGTTCTAGGCAGTCTAACCATATGCTGGTGCGTTATCATAAAACCACGCCAGCGCCGACCTGACATCAAATCCACGAACCGTTCGTACTCCAGTTCAGTGCGTTTTCAAGGGCCGTTTTAAAGTTAATTAGTTAAAGTAAAACAAGGCACCCTGCGATGCGTGGATGCTGACATACAGATGTGAAACAAATATGCCAGATATTATAATTTATAAGCTGATCACCCCAATTTTGCATACTCTTCGCAAATAGTCATCGGACGTTCCTGTTCATTTGCCTGCTCAAAATAGCTCCAAAGCTGTACATGTTCCCTGGGCAACCCGCGCCTCCTTCGGGGCACAGGTAACGTTCTGACGAGACATAAACACGAAAAATCATGGGGATCCATAACTGCATACTTCCATAGTTTAAATGCCATGCATTCAGGTTTACTTCATGGCCTCCAAAACAATAACTTCACCGTGATCAGGCCAAGGCAGATAACGTAACTTAAAGTCACGATACCTACATGCTATTTTTATGACATCGAAAACAAATAATGCGTCCCAATATTGAAATAACAAGCTCTCAATGGCATCAAGCACTTTGCATCTTTACACCTGATATGAATTTTGGGGTGATATTAATGCCCTAAGACCATACATCAGCTTTGGAAAATGTCAGAAACATACCGCAAAAACCATAAGCTCGATCCAGCCAAAGGTCTAGGAACTAATTCCTAGAAGATGGCCGTATGAACGAATTCATATCAAAGCATGCCATGTGACGCTGCTATTTGCGACTTTTGGTGGTCGATCGGTGACGGTCAATCCCAGCCCTGCAGCCCGTATACGGCCGAGCAGACGGTCCCTGGTGTCGGCCGTCAGCAGGCCCACGGCCGCGCAACCGGCTCACGTGTACGGGTCGAACTTGGAGGCCATGCGACCGATCAGCTTGCAGCCGGCCACGCGGGAGCAGGCCGGGTGGCTCAGCTGGCTCTTCTCGACGGCAACGCCCAGGATCTGCCGGCAGCGCCCCGCCCCGCCGTCACACACGGTCGGCACAGTGCTGCGCCACCAGACCGCCCTACTGGCGACCAGGTCCACCATACATCAGACACACCAACTGGACAGTCACCAGCACCTGCTGCACCATCTGTCAGTCACACCAAGCGAACAACGACCAGTGCCTATCTGTCAGCCACACAAACCGAACAGTCACCAGCGCCCAACCGTCAGCGACACCAACTGAACAGCACATCAGCCACACCAGCTGAACAGCCACCAGCACCCATCTGTCAGCCACACCAACTGAGCGGTCATCAGTGCCCGCTGCGCCATCTGTCAGCCACGCCAACTGAAGTCACCAGCACCAGCCGCACCACCAATCACGCCCCCCTCTACCATGAACCCAGCACGTGGCGCCATCTGCCCGGCCCGCTGAGCACAGGATGTCGTCCGTATCCTACCCCCTACATCCTTCGCATCACGCGTGAACACTAAAGCACCGCAAGAACACTGCTAGCCACATCTGTTGCATCACCAGCCAGCATCTTCGCCTTCATCTGCCCCCTCGCAATGGATCATATGACTGTCACGACACACGCAACGTGTTGTCAGAACGTCACACTAGATCCTAGTTGAATCCAGTGCTGTCAGATATGCTCTGCTTACGACTGATAGACAAAATACATGTCCACCCACCACGTCCACCGCTGATGAACGTCATGTTTATTCGGCTGTCCGTCAGTCTGCCTGTCCGTCCGTCAGTCAGTCGAATCACTGGCCTTGCCGAGTAGCCCACGACACAGCAGTTTGCGTAGCGCAGCAGCAGCTGGCGGCTGCGCGTCACGGGCAGCGCGGCAGTGGCACCGAGACGGTCTGAAAAATGACCCACATCGCTACGCCCTCACCTCCTGCTGAATGACGTCACTGGGTAGAAGGTCAATGACGTCCAGTAGTGTCTCTAGCCAGGCGGCAGCCACCACTGAAACACAGCATACAGGCACAGAAACGCGTCACACATTGGAGACGTGTCGACCATGGCTGATACACGTTAGACGTCTCTCGTCTCGACCACTACAGGAGCAGCTGAAACGTCAGACGCGTCAGACGTCTCGCCCACGACAGGAGCAGCTCAAGCACGTCAGACACTTCAGACGTCTTCACCGAATGTGCGTCGGACACGCAGTAACCAAAAACCGGCGAGGCGATCGCAGCAAGCAGCGACGTGTCGGACGCTGGTCGCGTCACAGAGCACTCAACAGCCATTAAGAAAAGCCGCATCAAAATGACACTCTGAAGGCCCTCCGCAGTTAAGTGCGTCGAGGCGAGGACGAAATGAGTGCGCCAGCTGTCTCGAGTCAAGCAACACCTGTAAAAGCGTAGCGACAGCCAATGACACAAGAAAACATAGCAGATATAGAAATAAATAGCCAACACGCGAAAAAGGTCACATAATGTAGGCACGTTGTAATTTTGTCTCGCGCTAGCCGACAGGCGTGCATTCCCTGTGGTGCGCCCAGATCGGTCCGATTGATCCAGCTTATCAGGGTCCAGCCCGGCCCTCTGCAGGCTGGCGACATATCACTCACGATGAGCCGGAATGCAGTCTGGCGCTACTGACCTGGGTCCTTACTGTCGACGGAGATGAGGATGCTCTGCAGGAATGTCTGCGTGAAGGTGGACTGGGGCAGCAGCTCGCGGCGAAGCACGGCCAGGAAGCTGGCGCCGGCCGCCCGCTGGAAGTCGGGCGGCGAGGCGGGCAGCGCCAGCGTCAGCCGCGGCACCACCTCGGCCAGGCAGCCGGCCGGGTCGGCGCCCATCAGGCGCGGTAGCGCGTCCACCGCCGACAGCCGCTGGCCGGCGTCCCCCGAGCTGGCGGCGTCAGGACACAGCCGGTTGAGGCAACCACCAGCTAGGACAGCCGGCGCCGTCCGCCCATCGTCCACGGCGCGCGCACCGGTCCCGCCCGCCTGCACTGGCAGTGACATGGGGCCGCCTAACTGGTGCACAGTCCGCTGGCGGTTAGCATATTGGCGCCGACCACACGGTGATCCTATTACACTAGGAAGGCAGTGACAGGCGCTGATATAGTGATACGATGGACAGCTCGCGATCGGAATGGTCGGCCTTGACACAGACAAGCAACTGACATGGCCTGCCTCAGATTTGACCGTGGGGGCTGACGTATTGCAGTTTGCACCTCCAACTTCACATCTTATTTACCCGTACGGTCAAGCTTTGTTCATAATATGGACTGCGCAGTGATCGGAGGCGATGCACTTTCGCCGACCGACTATGGTATCAGCTCGCTGCAGGGCGCCTAGCGGCCGGCAGTAGGCGGCAGAGAGTGCCGCAAGCGGCCCCATGCCGGCCGGCAATAGCCAGTGCAGGGCGGTGCACGCGGCCCGTGCCGGCGGCCCACCCGCAGACGGACTCACCTGTCGGCCACATCGCAGAGGGCCTCGCCGCCCTCGGCCGCCGGCCGCGACGGCGCGCCGTCCAGACCCACCCGCAGTGGCAGCGGCAGTGGCATCTGGCAGCGCGGCACTAGCGACCCCTACAGGGCGGCGGCAGCTCGAGCCGGCGCCGAGGCGACGGCCTGCAACCGGCCAGAAGCGTGTTGACGAACGCTAGCAGAACAGTGCGGCGCATGCCACGTGCTGATACCAACCACTTCAACGCCACTGGAGTGGGAGGAATCACAGTCTAGGCTGTGTAATTATTTCGGAGTGCCGAAAATTCTGGTTACAAGTCGTGAGTGGGTTGGACTTCGGATTTTAGACAAGTGTTACAGGAATAACAGGTCAGCATTGCGTAACCTGCCGGACAATGATCATCTGCAGTGTTGTGATTAAGTTATCTTGGTCGTAATTAGTGTATTGGTCTCAGCCCGTCGATGTCAGCCGGCCGCATATGTGATGTGGCATCACCTACAAGCTGCAGGTCACGTCAGGCTAACGTTACGTCCGTTCTGCTCCGCATGCCTCGGTCATTAATCACCACTTATATTTACGTCTACCACAGCTCCAGCAAAGTTACAATTGTTCTGTTAAACTCAGAACATCACATAATACTAATCTTACACTAACCGTCACTGCAGGCACAAAGAATCACACACTAAGCTCCAGGCGAAATAAACGTCGGGAGGTGGAGAAGTTGCGAACACCAAAGCAAACAGTAAGGAGAAAGAGCGAAAGGTTACGCTCTCTCGTCGTCTTGAGGGCGAGATCAAGGCCCGCTGATATCTTGAATCGGCCAATAGCTTACTAACTAGCATCATGCACCTCCGACGTAATCATACTAGAGGTGTTGATTCCCGCTCCAAATCCCCACATTGAAGGTCCCGCTCCCGGAGTTCCTATTTTTAAACCACGGGATCCCGGTGTGAAAATCACCATTTTAAGTGCACTTTTAAAAAGCCCCCTTGGTAAGAGCAATTTACAAAACCTCAGAATACATTAATTACGCCATCTGATGGTCGCCACTGTTGGCCAATCGGCGAACATTTGCAAGGATGGGACCACGGGCCCGCCTGCTCTCTTGCAGTTCCAGTTCCAGCGAGCACCAGCCCTTTGTTCGCTTTGGAGCCCAACCGCGGGCTGGACAAAAAAAACCGATAAAAGCAGTTCAAAGGAAGATTGCGATGAATGTTTCGCTTCCTTTTGAAGCTGCTGCGCTCTTGAAGTGACACTCGTACACCTCGCCCTGTGCACTCATGTGATGGTAATGGTTCAGTGTAATGATATCGCATGATATGCACAAAAAAATCAACAAAAAATGACAGTGTGACAAAGCATTGTGAGGCGTGTGCAAAAACTTTTATTGGATAACGAATACTGTCCACGCAACTTCTTCCTGGGGCTCAGTCATGAGCTATCAACGGCATGGACACACGAAACCGTTCATATACTGTCGATATATATATATATATATATATATATATATATATATATATATATATATATACACATACAACTGGAGGCTTTGGGCCTCGAAACTGCCAGACACCATGTTGGAGACCTCACTGTACAGCTCAAAGGCGACAGCGTCCTTCTCCCGATGTGCAGAAGGCTCAAAGGCCACGGTCAACAAAGAGCGCTGCGTCGACATGCTGGAGCGCTTCTGGAGGCAGCTGAGGTAACAAGACTCTGACAGCGAACGGGACACATGGTTCCAGCATGCTGGAGCGGCTCACTCCGCTTCAACAGTGACCCTGACCTGGCTGGAGCACCACTGAGGGAGCGTACACCATTAGTTGAAAGACGGACGGCCCGTGGCCGTCTCAATCACCGCATCCTACTCCCTGGATGATTATCTATGGGGTTTCCTAAAATGTCAAATCTGCAAGAGCCCTGAGGGCCTCGGTGACCTGCCTTAATGGTGGTCACCTTAAGCACGTGCCGTACAGTTGCCCGGGTGGCGGCCGGGTGTGAATGGTGAGTGACACAAATTGCATACATGACATATTTTAGCATTTTGGTAACGTGACCAGCACTTTTCTCCACGGATATCCACTTCTATAGTTAAAGATCATCACATCTTTCCTTCCATCCTAAACATGCGCCTTTACATGCTCTATGCATGCACGCATCCAGTTGCACGCATACTTATGACGAGAGGGGATACTAGTTCATTAACCAGGGGCGAAATGAAAAATGATCAATCACAAAATTCCCCAGTTACAGCATTTCCGAACACTCCCATGATATGATGCAACACACCTTCACAAAAAGAGCCCAGTAAGAGTCCGTCGTTTCCATCCTGCAGAAAAAGCAAACGTTATGCAGGGAAAGTGTTCCGCCTGGTCATTTCATTTAGCTCCGCAAATACTGTCCGCCTCCAGTGTTCTAGCCCATAGACAGCATCGTCAAGCTGCACCAGGTCTGCCGGGTGACATACCCCAATTCCGTCTCCAGTCGTCCCAGGCCTCGTGTCTGGTCGTCTCAGGTCCGTGCCTGGTCGTCCATGTGGGGATGCGAAATCCCTGCATCACTTCCCTTCATACAGGGAAAGTGATGCAGGGATTTGGCAGCCCGTCGTTTTGCTTATTTTGTGTGGTAGCACAGAAATACAGTTGCCGTCAAGACTCCGTGTCATGCGCGGGTGGGGATTGAAACACAAAGCATCCATCGCATTGGTCGATAGTGGGTCGAACCCGAAACACTCGCCGGCGCGGATTGTAACAGTCCCCAGGTCCGTGTCTGGCCGTCTCAGGTCTGTGTATAGTCGTCCCAGGTCCGTGTCCGGTCGTCCCAGGTCCATGTCTGGTCGTCTCAGTTCCGTGTCTGGTCCTTCCAGGTCCGTCTGGGCGTCTCAGGTCCGTGTATGGTCGTCTCAGGTCCGTGTCTGGCCAGCCCAGTCCAGCCCAGCTCAGCATAGCATCGTTCTCGGTGTCCAGCACTCAACAGCCTACTCACACACTCCTGTTCCCGCATTACCGTTTAGAAAAGAGAAAACATGACGCGAAGCACAGCCCGGCCGACCACAAAGCTCACAGCGTGGTTTCTCAATTATGCCAGCAACGGCGAGGGTGTGAATTGGAGTGACTCGGAGACTCCATTCCCATGACACAGTGCCGAGAATAACCCTTCCAACGAGAATGCCGGAATCAACGGTCCGAAACTTTCCACTTACAACGTCAGAACAAAACACAGGAGAATGTGTGGGGCGTTCATATGAAACAGGCACGAACCGGGGACGTGATCAGCAGTCAGTCGTGCGTATCCCCCTCCCCCCGACTGCGGCGCCCACCACACGCCGGCCACCTGCGCCAGCGGCGATGGTCGGCACGGAGCACATCTGGTGGGTATCACCGGCAGCGATGAGTTCCGGTACGGGCATATGAAGGGCCGTCACTTCCGTGCCGTCTGGCCAGCAGCATCCCTCTTCTGATCACAAGCTGGCAGCCGACAGGGCGGGGGACCGGCAGGGAGCTGGCAGGGAGCCGACAGGAAGGTGACGGAGCCGATAGGAAGGTGACGGGGAGCCGATAGGGAGCTGGCGGGAGCTGGCGGGAGCTGGCGGGGAGCTGGCGTGGAGCTGGTGGAGAGCCGTTGCCACGCCATCGTAACCGCTCCCGGGCAAAAACTCGGATGGAAAAAGCCGGATGCTCTAAAGACCGGCCTCCTGCAGAAGCGTTTGCCGCGTGAGCTCGGGCGGGTACCAATCAGAGGGCCCAGGAACGCGAGGTAAGCCCAGTGACCCATTTAGATTGACCCGTTTAATACACAGACGCATTCCAGTGCAGTCAGCAACAATCCTTCAACGCCAGACGCCCAATCATCGAATGCAGTGTTTCACACTTGTACGACGCTTTGAACTGGAACAGACACTTTGAAGACCACTCAGTGCAGCTCGCAGCAATGTCATTTTCGGACTTAAAACCCAAGCTGTTTCTGAGTTTGACAACTGCGAACTTATGTACACTATTTCGTGCAACTATTTCAGATTCGCCTAGGGATGCGTGACGCAACAGAAACATCACACAAATATCGCCACCTCACTGGTCTTGCGGTGCTCAAGGTTAGAAAAGTACGACCATTGAATTATTCGTGCCTAGCGTACGTCAGCACGATTCGTGGCATTAACGGACATCAGTTGGTCTTCGATCAGTTCAATGCAATGAGCACAAGCTTCGACCACGAACCACGTTTTGTACTGAGTATCACAGGAATTTGGGCAGTGGTACTAGTTAAGACGGAAATACGGTTGGGAATCTAATAGCATACGTGAAGTGCCATAACCAAGTATGTACACGCAATTCAATAATTATAAAACCACTGGCAGATATCACAAATACCGCGAGAAAGGGTCAAAATACGAACGATTCACGATATTCGGGTTCTACAAACATGCACCAGAAAACAGCAGTGAGTCAGCCCTTCTACTACAGTGGCAATTCTGACAAGCCAGACTGGCAGGGATCCTGACGAACAAGATGACGTATAGATGAACAATAATATAGAAAAGGGGAAATTTCGTTGTCAACAGCAGTTTTTTCCATTGGTTTCAAAAGAAAGCAAGCAGTTTCAGATGGGCTTATTTGATCCTATATAAAGCATGCCTCACTATCCTCAAATGGGAAACACTTTGTCTCTGACTGAACCGTGATAGCCCTTTCGAAGATCATTCGGTGCAATTCACAGTTATGCCCTTTTTAAGATCCAATGCCCTCTTGTTTTTTAGGTTCACGCCCGCAAATGTGTGCGGACCATTTCGTGCACACTATTTCAAGGTCACCCAGCTATGCATAGCGTCATGGAAATGTCATGCGAATACTGCCAACCAATGGGCCATTCAGTGCTGAAGGTTAAGTAAAACATGGCTCGTTCAATTATTTCAGGCTGGCGCACGTCAGGCCGATTTCTGGCGGATTTCATCAGAGTTCGATTGGTCCGCAACAAATGTGAAACGCTCAGTGCAAAGTTTCGAATCCGAACCACGGCCTGTGCCACATGGTACAGGAACTCGGGCATTGGTGCTAATTATGACAGAAATGAGGCCGGAATCAAATTGCTTAAGAATGGCGCAGTCACCGACTGTTTG